CTCCGTCCGCCGCACACGACGCAACAGGCTATTGCCGCCGTCTTCTCACGCAGATATTGACGGGGCTCACCATCAGCTGACGTCGTGGCGTCCCTCTTGCAACCCGTCGCAGGAAGTCAGCGGGATCCTGTCGACTGCGCCAGTCAACGTTCCGATGGGGGTGGGCGCGTCCTGGTCCGGATGGTGACGACCGATGACGGTGCTCGCCCGATGACAGCCCCCCGGGAAGTTGATAATAAAAATAATACTAAAAGTTGTTCGATCCCGCTGAACACATTGCGACGTTGGTTGACTTTACGGGGGCCAGTGTGGCCACGTTTATTATGAAACAAAACAACTCAACAGTGAGTTAAAAATCCCAAAATTAAACCCCGTACTTTTGTTCCCAGTCTCCCAAAATCGAATCGAAGCCAATCCTCAGAATCCCTCTCGGGGATCCTTTTGTAGCCTCGTAGGGGCCTCCTTTCCCCTCAGGGTCCAACCAATCCCTTCAAATTTCACCACTCCCACGTGGTACACTGTTCTCCAATGGTCGACAAGCTGTCAGCCTAGCACTTCCAACGGCCAAATCCAAATTCTTTCTAGAATCAACTCCTGCATTTTAAGCTGACGGGCTGGCGCCAACAGCTAAATTATTACCTCGGGTAAAAAGCGACAATTTGATACTAAGCGGCAAAACTCTCTATGTACAGGCACATTCGGCTAAAAGCTACACGCTTCTCCAGGCGCGGGCTGTCCCGCTCCCGGTCCGAGCAGGCTTCCGAAACCCGAGACGCTTCTTAACGACCGCGGGGGGAACCGCTCCCGCGACGCGGCCGCTCTGGCCCCGCCGACACAAACATAGAAAGCTAAAGAAAAGAATGCCGACGCAACTCTGGAAAGATTAACTTTCCTAACAAAAATCACCTTAACTAATAAGCAGGATTTTTACAAACTTAACAGTGCCTTTCGCGCTTAGCCAGGGGGAGAAGAAAAAAACTACCGAACTGTGGTGCTGTAAAAGGTATTGAGGGAAAGGAAACAAAACAATGACGTCAATGAAAACATAGTTCAATAATCGCCAACGTTCAATGAAATAAATATTCAATTAATCGGTTACGTTCATTTCCACGCCTAATATTAAAAAAAATACGAATTTAATTATTGTTTTGCCGTGTATAAATATGTACAAAAATGCGAAATGCATGCACAGTTCCAATCATAAATCAACTTCGATGTGGAGCTGAGAAGAGTCCAAAGATACTCGCATTTAGATAATATTACTTCAGCTGCAGAGGCAAAGGTTTCTTTTATATATATATATTTTCTGGCCAGAGCGAGCTTTTTTGATTGCTCACAATCGTCAGTGCTGCTGTAAACGACAACTTGAATGACGTTGAAGTTAGCGAGACGTAACCATCCACACTTGATTGAATTTAGATTTATCACCCCTAGTTTACTATAGACCGAATTTTCATATAATATTTGCTCTTTACACACCTTCAATTGTCCAGGACCTCATAGTGTAAGTGTTGAATTTTGAAATTTCTTTCCTTTTGCCAAAAGTTTACCGATTAACCTGGTAAAAAGAGTAATCGCGATCAAAGCATTCATTTATTAATTGATAGATTATTCGATCAACTGCTCATCCCTAAATTACAGAAGGCCATAGGGCTTCGGTACGGTCATGAAAATTGGAAGATGCTTTGTGAAAACCGCATGAATTTGTTTTTGTCACTTGGTGATTGGAGATGAAATGAACAATGAAGTGAAAGACGAACTGCAGCACAAAAGGAAAACATATCCGTTGAGATGGCTACATTCGCATACCTGTGCTCAGAAAACCTGAAACTGTTAAAGACAGTCTCTCTTTTTTAACTTCACTGCTGTGCTACAACAGCGAAATTAAATAAACATTTAGGCCCATCGGGAAGGGGGGGGGGGGGGGGTTATATTTTTGATGTGCTAAAGTACGATACCCGGCTCTAATCCTGAAACAAATATATAATTCAAAACTAATTCGCACAGCATGTCGGTATTTGAAGAGATTAATATTTACAGAAGTCTTTTTTCTTTTTTTTCCGGAAAATACGCTACTTCAAAACCAAAGTTGCAAAAATATGACGAAGGTATATTTGTATATTGTGTATTTCTGTAGAATAATGACAATTTATATCCGAAGTGATGTTTGAAGGCCAAGATAAAATCATGCAAACGATTTTAGAATTCCCGAAAGCGCTCGTAGATGGAGTTTGCCGGGATACCATTGAAGGAAATGTGAATAACACTTCTTTGAGGATGACCAGGCAAGACTAGATATTTGTAAAGATGAGATATGTTGTTTTTCATCCTCGACTGACTTCTATAAAACTTAAATAAAGTCATCGAGTCACGAATGCGTGGCTGATTGTGTATACGTTAGACAGTTACAATGAGGTCCATGTGTGAGACAGTATCGAACGCATTGTCACGGTCGATGAAACTTACGCCGGTTTGGTCGTTATCGTGAGTGTTGTAGGAAAGGTAAAAATTAAAACCGAAAATTTGTAATATATGATGAAGTTTATAAATCAAGTTTAGTTAGGACAATTTTTAGGATCGGTAGAGATGAGCTAGCGTGTGAGTATATGTGAAATGTTTCTGGATTTCAAATGGCACACTGGTGAGAAGTATTAGTTCATATCTAGGTATCTGACATTGTCCCAGTTTCAAAATAGTTTAAACTTGAGCAGGATACCTCTCGTGTTGAGAAAATTAAGAGGCGAAGCTCTGAAGGTAAGAAATAATGATAAAACACGTGATATCGTGTATCTCATATTTTTAAGAAGGCTGGATAGATTTATTCCTTCCCTTGAGAGCATCCTATCCGATGGCTTTTAATTTATTTAAAAATTCATTGAAGCTAAAAGTTTTCACGAAGGTAAGTTTAAAGTCCCGAGAGGAAAAAAAACGTTTTTTTATTACGCTGTTTCCTACACTGTTTTATACTTAGGAATGTTTTTCACTAATTGAGTGTGAGGTTATACTCTTTTCCTTCAGGCTAATGAAACACCTTATCTTTTTCGGGCCGAATCGCAAAGTGTCTCTTTGCGTCTTTTTATACTTTTTTGTCTTAGTATTTTTAACTTTATTATAGCAATTATTTGAGACAATATAGCAACTCATCCAGTGTATGAAGGTATGTACCTTCTTGACGTTCCAAAGTTAATATAGTAATAGGAGGTTATAACATCTCATAAAGTTCAGTCCTGAAAATAATCCAGTTTTCATAGAGAGAACGTGATTCATTATTATATATTTTATTTATTTACATAAATACCTGCTTCGCCGTTAGGCATTATGCAGGGGGGAACAAACGAAAAACGAATTTAAAGACATTTTCAGTAACGCAATCGACAATCATCCAGTACTACATTTATAAATTTATAATTATTATTGATTATTACTAATTATTTATCTTGGATCCTAAATGTGTCTTCAAAATTTTCACCAGAATAATCATAATTCGTTTTTTAACTTTCACGAATCTTTGCACAATATTCAATGCATAAATAAAAATAACCATGTGGTCCCCCATTTTATAAAAAAAATTTGTCGAAAACAAATATGTCATTCCCCGCAAATCACAACACGCTTTTAACATTTTCTAACTTCTACAAACGGTCTGACGAAAAACCTACTTCTTTTACTCGAAGCATAACTAACGTTCAGTAATTGGTCATATTTTGTTTTAACTCAAACATAGCGAGTTAATAATAGATATTTACATTTTTCGAATAAAATGTATTCAAAGCTAGCATACACTTGGCAGGCTATAGACTACACTTGCGCCGACGTTACTTTGTAAGGTGAATTGCACGTTGCTTAATTGTCTAAGTCAAGTGTTCCAGATGTCAAGTTGCCGCCTCTGAACTCTAGTCATGAATGACGATATAGCACAGATAGTGGAAGTGTAGGTATTTAATTATTTCTCACGTGCGTGCTTTCGTCTCCTTGTGGTCTTTGCAATTTACTTAATTTGGGAACTTCCGAAAACGTTGGATTTCCAAAAATAAACTCCAAATAGCCTTGCTAAAAAAAACTTTCCTAATGCTTTTTAGTGAGATGAATAGGCTTACATCCAATGTTTGTGCATTGTTGTCGCCAGTAATTTGGACTTTTTTTGTGTTCCGTATCTAAGAAATACACTATTTACTTTCCCCGGCCTCCAAAAGAGCTGTTTGTTAATAACAGAAGAAAGCGCCACCTGTCTAAAATCAGCGGCTAGTTTCAGAAGTATCTCTGGGGATAAAGTGCGACATTAACCACCATCATTACAAGCCGTGTTGGTCTTCCCGTGGTTGGAGGAAGTTGGGAACGAAAATAGAACAGATGGTGTGTCTTTCAGATCTGTGTAGCCGAATTGATCGAGTAATATTTGCTTTTATTTAGAGTCTGGAAATTGTTTCGTCTTCGACTTTATAATTTTTTATCTTTTTATTCTTGATATTAAGCTTTGCAACGTACGTTTTAGTAAAGGACGTACTTACTCAAACAAGATTTCTGCTGCACACCTCCGTAATTTAAGAGTGCGCAGCAATCTCTGTTTCTTAATTTATATAGCATTGCAAAAATAAAAACAGAACAGACGACCCAGATGTTCCGTGCACGAGTAAATATTTTTACTCAGAGGAAACTTCTTTAAAAAATTAAACTGTGATACAATTCCCAAGAGCAGGACTCTTATGTCGAATTGTGACCATTCTCAGGTTCACCACACAACATGTAGCATGTGACAAATGCGATCAACTTAGACTAAACTACATGTCCTACATGTCATAAACTACAAAACATGTTTAGATGCGATAAGACAGTCAGCTTGTTTCAGTGCGCGTTGTACACCAATTCAAGGATTTTTATGCAAAACGCGACTTCTAACTGAAACCTTATTTTCAAAACTTGATACTTCATTAAGAAAAAAAGTCGTCCCTTGATGTTATATTATTGCTATGCTTATAATATTTTTTATTTCTCAGACTCACCCCCTGTCCTGTAAGATTGCATGCAATCTCTCCTCCTTCTTTGATAAGTGCTATGCAGGTGTTGTCAGAATAGTTTGGCCAGTTGACCCCTGAAACAGATGTTTGGTACAGAAGTCTTAATTTCTGTTCATATACACCTAATCACTGAGTACTATGCTATAAGTAATAAGTGTGGAGGCCATGCCGGGCCAGAAGAAGGTTCATGCCAACTCTCTCGTGCCAGAACAACAAGTGACTTTTATTCCGTTGAAAATAACACACGAAGCCGTCCCCGCGGTGGCACAGGGTTGCCTGCGGCAATCACGTACGCGAGGGTTGCGCCCTCTACATCTCCCCCCTCAGAATCACACTAAAGGTCCAACTTCCTGGGACGCACCACCCGTCGGCCACACCTGGTTCTTTGTACAGGTGAGGTATCCAAGTCAGGTTCGTTGCGCCGGAGGTTGTGGCTCGTAGGCGAAGGTGGCTGCTGAGGTTGAGCCGATCCTTGAGCTGCAGGTGCCACCAACTCTTGAGGAGGAACCGGTCCTTGAGGAAGAGCCAGTCCTTGAGATGCAGGTGCAGGTGGTTGCCGAGGGGAAGCCCGTGCCTGCGCTGCAGGTGCCGCCGGTTCTTGAGAAGGAGCCAGACCTTGAGCCTCTTCTCTCGCAGTTGGGTCTTCACTGCCTGTCCTGAAAGGCACCAAGTTTCTCCGGTTGCGCTGCCAGATTGCTCCCTCATCTGTTTCCACCACGTACGACCTGGGACGTTGCGCTGGACTGAGGACAGTAGCCTTTACCCGTTCCGGACGAACCCAGACGCGGGTACCGTCTTCCAGCGGCGAGAGGCTTCTAGCCCGATGGCGGCGATCAAAGTCGGTGACTTGCCGACATTCGAGCTTCGCGGCCTTGGTGGCCACCTCCTCCTGTGGCTTGCTACTTGGTACCAACAGTCTCCCCTCCTTGGGAAGTCTGGTGCGGAGTCGGCGCCCCATCAACAATTGTGCCGGACTGAAACCTGAGGGTCCGGGGGTATCTCGGTAGTTGAGCAAAGCCAGGCACGGATCGTGCGCCTTGCGTAGCAGGTTCTTCACCGTGCGCACCATGCGCTCTGCCTCCCCATTGGACTGTGGGAAGTTGGGGCTGCTTGTCTGGTGTACGATTCCGTACGATGCCATGAACCGAGCGAACTCGTGGGACTGGAAGGGTGGTCCGTTGTCTGAACGCAGAGTGGAGGGGATGCCGTGACGAGCGAAAATGCTCTTGAGCACTTGGATGACATGCCCAGCTGTTGCAGAGTTGAGCGAGACCACTTCCGGATAACTGGAATAGTAGTCGACCACGAGGAGGTAAGTCTGTCGGTTCAGGTGAAACAAGTCAGCGCCCAGAAAGTCCCAAGGTAGACTTGGAAGCTGCGTGCTCCGAAGTGGCTCTGCTGGATTGCCTCGGTACGACGTGCACTGTTCACATTGTGCCACGAGTGCTGCTATATCAGCGTTGATACTTGGCCACCATACTGATTCCCGGGCCCGAGCCTTGCATCTGTTAATGCCTTGGTGACCTTCGTGAATCAAAGTCAGCGCTGTCGCACGTTGCACCGCTGGTACCACGATGCGAGTGCCTTTCAGGAGTAAACCATCACAAACCGAAAGTTCGTCCAACACGCTAGCATACTTCGTCAGGTGAAGCGGTAACTTTGACTTCGGAGGGAACCCGTTGTGGCACATCGACGCGAGTGCGCGACACTCCCCGTCGCTTGCTTGAGCAGTTCGAAGGTCCTCCAGCTGTAGAGATGCTGCTTCTGATGAGGTCTGAAGGACTTCCGCAGCAAACACTTCGATTGTGTCTACAGGACGAGACGAATCGGCAGGTTCCGTTGGCATACGAGACAGGGTGTCCGCTGTTGCGAGAAGCTTCCCAGGGACATACGACATTGTGAACTGGTACCGCATCACCTTCAGTCGAAGGCGCTGGATACGTGGAGGTACCACGTCCAGGTCCATCTTGCCAAACAGTGAGACCAGAGGCAGGTGATCTGTCTCTACGTCGAAGACCAACCCACGGAGGAACTCGTCGAACCGTTGAATAGCCCATACAGCTGCCAGGGCTTCCTTCTCCGTTTGGCTATAACGTAATTCAGTCGCTGTAAGGGACCTCGACGGAAAAGCAACCGGTCTTCTTTCGCCGGAAGGCTGAGTTTGTAGAAGGACTGCCCCCAAGCCAAATGAACTGGCATCCGCTGAGACGACTGTTGGGTACGCCGGATGATACTTCGCCATACAGCGGTCCGAGACGAGCATCAGCTTGAGCTTGGTGAATGCTGTTTCTTGTTCGTGGGACCAGTTCCACGCAGCATTCTTGCTGAGGAGCGCTCGGATAGGAGCTGCAACGTCCGAAACGTGCGGAAGGAAACGCCCGAGGTGGTTCACCATGCCAAGGAGGCGTCTTGCACCTGCAATGTCAGTTGGCGCACTCATCTCCTTGATCGCTTGGAGCTTGCTTGGGTCAGGACGGATGCCCCTTGCAGATACCATCACCCCCAGGAAGGAAACCTCGCTCTGGCGGAAGCAGCACTTCTTCTCGTTCAAAGTGATGCCTGCGCGGGATAGTCGCATCACGACTTGCTGCAGGCGGGAGTCGTGTTCTTCGAGAGTGCGTCCGAAGGCGAGTATGTCGTCTATCATGCACACAGTGCCTTCCAGGCCTTCCAAAACCCTGGACATCTGCTTCTGGAAAAATTCGGGCGCAGAGGTGATGCCGAAGGGTATCCGACGGAAGCAGTAGCGTCCGAAAGGTGTGATAAATGTGGTGAGTTCTTGCGATTCTTCCGCCAACTTCACCTGGTAGAAGCCTGATTTAGCGTCCAACTTGGAGAACACCGTTGCGTCTCCCAGCAGGCCCAGGACCTGGTCGACCGTGGGAAGGATGTGGCGTTCTCGCAGGACCACCCGGTTCAACTTCGTAAGGTCCACGCACAGCCTGTGGCCCCCGGTGGCTTTGGGGACGACCACCAGTCCGGCGCACCATGGTGTTGGCGTGTCAACTCGGCGAATGACGCCTTCTTGTTCCATCTTCTGCAGTTCCTTGCGGACGACTTCCCGCAACGGAATAGGGATGCGCCTTGCCACGCTAAGAGAAAATGGAACAGCGTCTGGCTGGAGGCGGATCTTGTATTCTTCAGAGAGAGATCCGAGGCCATTAAACAGCTTGTCACAAGTCTGAGAAGAGACTTTGACGGTAGGAGGGTCCTTTTCTTTCGATGAGACGCCGTCGACGAATTTGACGACTTGAAGTGCCTGAATGGCTGGAAAGCCCAAAAGAGGCACGGAGAGGGATTTTACCACGTACAGTCTTTGCTGGGTTGACTTGCCTCTCCACAGCAAAGTGGCCATGAAGGACCCAAGAACGCTGAGTGGCTGGTGCCCTGGCCCGAAGAGAGTGTCGTCCACCTTGTCGAGGGACGGCGGCAGGTTGGGGAAGGTGTTCGAGACGGCCGTAACTTCGGCGCCCGAGTCAACCTTGAACACTTCCGTGTAGTCGTTGACAGTTACTTCCACGAACTTGCCTTGGTCGGAGTTGCGAACGGCGTACAAACCCAGCTCTGCCACCTGGGTCGACCGTTTCTTCCGGGAACGGCAGACGTCCGCGAAATGGCCTTTTTTCTTGCAGTGGTTGCACAACGAGTTGCGGGCGGGGCATTCCGAGCGAGCGTGTGAAGCACGGCCGCAGTAGCCGCACGAGCTTGAGGTGCGCTTGTCGCGTGCTGAGCTGTACTTGACGCGTCCCGCTTGTGGCTGCCGAGACTTGGCAGCGTCGAGGCTCACCGGTCGAGACTGCGTGTCGTGGCCTGCGAGCTGGTCTCTCTGCTTTTGGGCGTCTTCTGCTTGTCTCGCCTGCACCCATGCTTCTTTGAGGGTTAACTTGGGGTTGCGGCAGAGCTGGTCGGCGAGGCGAGCGTCGCGTAAGCCTACGATGAAGCGGTCGCGGACAAGGCGTTCCACGACCTCGGGTGACGGGTAGTTGCATCTCTTGCAGAGCTTGCAGAGTTCCGCATAGTAGCTGTCCACCGTTTCCCCCGGCTGCTGGACTCGCCGGTGAAACTGCGCCGACTCGTACACCTCGTTGAGGGGGTGAACGAAATGGGCCGTAAACTTCTCTACGACCACGTTGTAGTCCGTAGGAGCGTCGCCGAGGCCGAACGTCGCAAGAAGAGGACGAGCTTCCGGCCCCATGCAATAAAGAAGTGTGCGGACCTGAACTTCTCCCGACGCCTGTCGAAGACCGGAAGCGAAGGCGTAGTCCTCGAAAAGGCTTAGCCACGTCGGCCAGGAACCGGCGTTCTCGAAGTCGAAGCGGTCGGGCTGATGCAGTGAAAGACCTTGCCATGAAGGCTTGGCGCCGTTTCCTTCGTCGTCAGGCATGGCAGCGAGCAGGACGGCAGCGAGCAGGAACACGGCGGTCGAAAGCCGGGCGACGGGCGAGCGAACTACGCAGTTACGGCGAAGACGATTCATGCGGAGGTGAGGCCTACGTCGTTAGGCATAACGTTTGGCACTTCTGACACCATGTGGAGGCCATGCTGGGCCAGAAGAAGGTTCATGCCAACTCTCTCGTGCCAGAACAACAAGTGACTTTTATTCCGTTGAAAATAACACACGAAGCCGCCCCCGCGGTGGCACAGGGTTGACTGCGGCAATCACGTACGCGAGGGTTGCGCCCTCTACAATAAGAGTCACATTTGGTTGTTCTACGTGCCTAATTAACGACGGGCGTCTGGCATGCCCCAGTCAAAAACTGAGCATCAATTTCTAACGTTCGGTAATACGGCGTCTTCTCCGTAAGAAGCCCCTTTTAGCTTGAGGGAACCTGGGTCGATATTCAAACCCGCAAACCTGGAGATCCATACGCCGGCGCATTGCATTGGACCCATTGAGGCAGTACTACACTAAATAGTATGCGGTATAGACAGAAAATATTTAAATATCAGGTATATATATATATGTCCTAATATTCAGAATACAATGAGCAGTCGGTCAATTGGAATGCGAAATTACTGCCTTTGCGCACGAGAGCTGCTGTAAGTTTACCATGATTACTTTGACCCGTGACTGGAGCCGAGAAAAGAATATAGTTTTACAGCGAAAAAAAAAAAAGGAGACACAACGAGTTTCGCTGTCACCTTTTCTTCCACTGTAAAAAATATGTATCCGTCCTGCCCCAGCCTCGGGTTGAAATCATCATGGTAAGTTGCATTTAACTTTCTGATTCTCATTATACGGGAAGCTGTATTTAGCTCTATATACTGGTAATGCAGTGTGGTAGCTGATGATGAAGGTGGCTTATTGTTACCCTGCTAGGGCGTGAAAGTTATCACCCGAAATATAATGTAGTATTCTTTTCGTTTTTTGACTGATTTCTTTAGCCTATACATCATTCTTATGGCAACATGTAAGCATTCAAATAAAATATTTAAAAAACAACTTTATCAGTAATAAAATACTAAAGTATACATACTGTATCTAAACGGTCACATTAATCGGCTCAGGAATACTTATTTATTAATGCGAACACAATAACTGTCCGATGGAGCGAGACGACGTCATCAAATTTGATGCCGCGCAAAAAGACACCTAAACTCCTTTCACTAAGTGAAGCCGCGATCAAATGGATTCCAGCTTTGAATCCGTGCAAAAGTCCCAGCCAAACGGTGCCAAGTTTCCCTTCTTCCAATGGAGCGAACTGCCGAAATCTGATGAACTTCCATTGGAAACCCATTGGCTGGCGCGCGTCATAGTTTCAAGGAACGATGCTCACATTGGCCGCCGCGCGTCAGTTTCAAGGAAGGCTACTCATGGCGTTGTGGGCCCCGTGCCGTCTCCGCGCCGGTAAAACGAAGCGTCGCAACCCCGTGGCGCTACGGGCCCCGCACCGGCAAAACGGACACGGTGACGCGTCCTCGGCGGCTTCTGCTCGTCTCGTCACTGACGAACATGGCGCCGTCTCAAGCATCCACACATCGTCGGCGCCCGCCACCTCGGCGGTGACACAACCTGCCCGTAAACGCAAGTACAATGGAACAAACTAAGTTAGCGGAACAACGACATGCATGCTTTCGCATTCACTACTCATAAAAAGTGTTTTGGTGTATGTACCTCGAGCCTTTTATGTTGAAAATATGAATATTTGTTTGAAGTAATTTGAATTGAAATTTGTCACTTTCGGAACAGCCGCAAGGAACAGAGGCTATGTCATAAGTGCCTGAAAAAGGTATCTGTCCCCCTTGAAGTTTGTGCATACCGTGCACAACAATCAAGCGAAACTATTCAGATCTACTATACAAATAATGTTTCAAATGAAACAAAACAAAGATCCCATTTAGTATTTATACAGATCCTAAATAAAAAAGTTGTTAAAGAGAGCAATCAAATTTAGATTAGTTAAGGTGGCTACAAGTACATGGCACTGCCCATCCGAACTGCCTTTAGATATTTAAAAAAATTAAAACAATATGTGTTTGAATCTACAGTTTTCTATAAAATATAGTATTTGAGTCGCTTGGTAGTGTTTATTTTTGCTTCCCATATTATGTGAGAATTAGAGAAAGTCGTCACAAAGAATGCTTAAATATGTATGTATGCACTACATCACATGAGTTTATATCAAAGAGCTTCTCTTTGTGAATGAGTTGTATTAGATTGAAATCATAAATCTTCTTAGCTTTGAGTATTTCATGTTTTGCGAAAGGTCGTTCTGTGGGCAGATTCTGTATATTTCCTAAACAATTTTCTGATAACCGCAACTTTTTTTTTAATGTGATACCATTGTAAGTTGTAAGCTTATTGGTACCCCATTCTAAAATACAGTAGCAAAACATTCAATAAAGTATATATATGGGCGGTTTCATTTCGATTCAGGCAACGAGTGGCAGTCGTATTTTTTTATTTTGCTTAATTTTTTTTATATTTCGTGGTGCACGTTTCACGAATAACAATCCTTTTTATTTTAATGTCCTGACATGTTTAGTTTCTGAGAAAAAAAAAATCTCAAAGAAGCCGGAAAGAACGACGAGGTTTTGACGATTGTCGTGTGTGGCGTTTTGGAATTACTCTCGATCTCAAAGTATTCGAAAGAGAGCGTTATATTTTTGTAGTGTGATATATACGCAAGTAGGTAAGACGACATTAAAACTACTATTTATTATTCGTTGATCCAATCTTTGTAAAAGTTCCCAAACATGCCTCCCCGAACAACTGTGACCTATATTGCGAACTTTTTGTTGAGTCGACTATGTTTACTATCGCATTTAAAATAATACCACCTGTAGATTTACCATAGATTTACCTTTTTGAAAACCACATTGAAATTTATTTGAAACATGATACCTTAAGGAACACTTTCGGAATCTGTTCTTAGGAACTCTCTTGAAACTATTAAGGAAATAACGGGCAAAGTCAAAATAGGTCAATCGAGTTTGTATATATGCCTTATCTTCTTTGAATACGGGTGAAACTCTAGCAATTTTAATCATAAGCGATATTCACCGTTTCAAAAGTACAAATAATGATATGAGCTAAACTGCTACTGATACCTTGAGACACATATTTAATAAAGAATTGTTCTAAGCCGTCTACACAGCTGCCTAGTTCATTTTTATCCCCCTTATAAGTGCGTCCATTGATTGAGGAGAAGATGACGTTCACATTATCTAGTTTCCTAAGTAATATATGGTACTTTAAGGTAGGGTCATGGTTTATTTTGAGTTACTAAGGGTACCCCAAATCCTACGAAACATTCGTTTATTGCATTACAAAGTTCAGAACAACTCTCATAAACGTCCACGTCATGTGTTTCCTGGAAATGAATAAGCTTCTTTGTTAGTGTGTTAACGGCATCCAATAAATTTTTGGGGTCGTGCTAAATACAACAAAACAGGCGTCGATGATAGACACATTTGAAGTTTGTTATATTTCTTTTTGAGGGGGGGGGGGGCAGAAGTTAGTTTATTTGGATATTTTAATGCTGCAAGAAAATCTGGATCCCTAGACTTGAAGGAATTACGGCGCATTTTTAACTTTGTTTTATTTAATTCGTGTTTTAAGTCAGCGCTTATCCTGGTTTTTTGCAGTTTTTTTGTTTACTTAGTAGCTCGCGTGAAATTTGTGTGGTAACTTTCTTGATTTTTTCTTTTAGAAAGTGGCGTACGCAAAATTAAGATTGTTATCTTAATATTCGTTGCTAGAGTCTATTTTAACAATGAAGATGCGAAAAGTTGTCCACGATGCCTTGTATATTTTATTGGCAAGTGGTCACTGAGGTCGTTTGCGGAAAGGCCAAAGGAGATCTTATTAAATTTTATATTAGACATACAATCATTAAAACCGGCCGCAAGTTTGCGCAGTCAATATGCTGGTCAGTGTCACCGTATTCAAACAACCCCGAGTGGTCAAGACACTTGTTTTAGTTTTATAGAGAAATTTAAACTTCCAAGTAGATTCAAGTTTACATCGCTCATAATAAAAAGAGTTTGGCAGTGGAAGAAAAAATTCAGGATTGTCTTCAAGAAAATAGAAGGAAAAACGGCTTTGTTTCCAGCAGGAAAACTGCATATTACACTTACGACGTTTCTAGCATGAAAAACAAGGCATTCCAAATGAGTAGTAATTATAGAAAGCTAATCCAGTGCATGCCGTGAAATTATTGTCAATAAACAAATGGGGACACCACCTCCTTTTTTTTCTCCTAGATTCGCAGAACTAAAACCAGTAAAAAAAGGGGGTTCAACGTCTGTGGGAAACCATATCTGCGTAGAAAGCAGGACGTCGAAATTAAGTAACAATGACTCCAGATACAAGTTAAGATGATCTAGATTATTGCTCATGCTTTTTGTTTTAAATCAAATAAAAATTAAACCATATTCAGGAATATAAAATGTTTGTTTTATTAATAACTAGGTATAGCCATTACAATCAATCGAAAACGTAGCAGTCGTGAAGTACACGCAAGTCTATCGATGGTGAATTTTCTCTGTCAAAGTGAATTATGCGATTATTTTTTCAATATCGCTTTGGCCTGCATTTTTGAAGTTTACGAATGTATCATCTTTTTGTGTAAACACCTTTCCTCCAGCTGCCGAGACAGCTCTCCAGCGAGTTTTTCGCTTCCGGGATATCGCAGTACCAAGAACTGCTTGTTCTGCCTCGTCTAATGTTCGTTAACCTGCATGGGAGTGGTGAATCCGACTGCATAAACATCCGTTGTCGTCAGCAGTATTTGTTTTTACACCTTGCACGTAACGCGTTTATTTTGATTGCTGAACAAAATGTACGATGATTCTCTTTTGTTGCTTTTTAAGTGGGAACCCATAAGGAGATATTTATACCAGCGCTCTCAAACGTTCACCCACAAGGGCACCAATTTTTTTTTTGTCATTTGGTTTGCCCCGTTATTGGGGCTGCGTTGATCTCCAGGCTGTTTACTCGTTACTGTCGTTATAAATAATCCTGATTTTTATTTAGGTGCTGATTTGCTCTTTTCAGCATCTGATTTTCTTGCGTAAGGTTTAGTATCTTCTATCGTATTTCTTTGGTCACGTCCTGTCTAGAAGTCGTCAAAAGAGCTGCTATAATAAGTTACACTATCCTTCAGTCCTCTCTGTCTAGACAAAATTTGTCTGCAAAAGTCATCGTCTACTATAGTAAACTTTTTCGCGTCTTTATTCATATTATATTTCGGAAGGGAGAAAACAAAATTTGCAGAACCATGCACACAAACGAATGTTTCTGGCAACAGTACACTCAGAAACCTTCAGTGGAAAAAAAAACAAAACGTAAATTATAGAGCACTCAGCTCTGTTAGAAACAAATAGCTTTTTTTTTTGGTCGTTCTTACCATTGATTGTTTCAGTTACGATAAGCACCGTGGCAAAAAGTGTGACAAGCATTTTGGTTTATTTTACGAACAGTAAAACCCAACCGGTGGATTCTGAAATAAAGAAAAAGCCCATGCTTAGCAAATACTGAGCACTCAGAGCGAGATGGCTAAGCGGATTCCTGTTCCCTTGTAATTTGCTAGCCATATATCTGTGTGCCACTTGCAGGCCAGAATTACGCTTCACATTGGGTTTGGTCTTTACCTGCCAACTTTGGTCCTAAAATTTCAACAAATGTCAAAAGTAGGCTTCAGTGCTCGCTGTTTTGTTGATACGTGTCATGTGGCACATTAGAAATTGAAAAAAAAATCGGAACAAAGAAAAACTATAGTACTTCGGAGCTAACTAATCCTCTCAGGTCACTAATGGTGAATTCCGCTCGCAGATCTCGAGCGCTCCAAAAGCGCTCCATTTAGAGCGCGCATATTCCGCTCGCAGATATGGCTCGAGCTGGTCATCTTCCGCTCGTAGATCTCTGGCAGCGCCCGCTCCACGGAGCGCATCAAACCCCACCGAACTTGCTCTGCGGGACTTCACAGATCTCTCCGGAAGTTGACAGAGCGGCCCACGTGATTTCCGCCTAAATCGGCAGTGCGCATGCGCGGCGAGTTTGGAGAGGTCAGCGGGCCGGTCGGGCCGTCAAGTTGGATCTGTGGGGGTGCGTCGGTTGTTTACGCGAGATTGTGACGGCTCGAACGCTTCCACCTCGCATAGATCAGGGATACAAAGCCGGGACTGTGGAGCGTGGTGAATCGCAAGCGCTGACATCTGTGATCGTGAGAGGAAGAACGACAGAAAAGCCGGAGGCAGACGCAAGGTTAGGCCTGTTCATTCTGCAGCCAATGATTGTTTACCTTTTTACACCGTATTCCGCCTGCGTTTTCCTATGAAATAAAGCAAGAAGTGATTAGGCAACGACTGCGCAAGTGGTGGTTTCTTACCTTTGTGTTTATTAAAGTCGTACCAGAAATCTGAACTCCACCGCAGGCAATCGCTGTCCGTGCCCCGCCACTTTGAGGCGGCCGAAAGGTATGTGACGGTGCGGAACGCGGACGTATTCGTGATTTGTGACATTGGCGTCGTGGTGCGTATAAATTCGCGCGGCCTGTGTCGCGTGTTATTTCTGCAGCTAAGCATTGACAGTCGTCACTGTTCGTCGGAAAGATCAGTCGGTTGAGGCGTTGGTGGGCTTGTCGAGTTCGAGCAGCGGCCATTTTGAACGGCGGTGGGGAGGGGTGTAGGGGAGGTCGCTCCAAAAGTGCAAGTTTATCTTCCCCTTGTCGATTCGGACCGGGTCCCACGGAGCGGAATTTCGCCTCCGTCGCGGATTTCGGAAAGCGCTCCGGATCTACGAGTGGAATTCACCATAAGCTTTGGCAAGATTAGGAGTTTCTCTGGAATGCTACCTGGAAGGTAAAGAGCGCCTGAGCACACCCTACCTTAGCCCAGAATACGGAGGACATGAAGAGTTGTATTTTACCAGACACCTGCATCCTAGCCTTCACTCTAGGTTTCAAAAACTGAAGTAACATCTTCAGATATTATCAGAGGAATTTATACCTCACCAGCTGTTCAAAGACGACACAAGGATGCGCGTGTTTTTTTTTTTTTTTTTTTTTGCGTGGTTAGACATTGCACACGCAGTAGAGTGATTGGGGGCTGAAGCAGGCAAGGAACCATCCTCCAAAACCCAGTCTCAACGTCCCCACCTTACCCCTCCCCAAACCACTGTATAATTTCTCAAAACTTCAAGTTCCTACATTTTAAATACAGCGTTTCATCGCATCCAGCAATTTTTTTTATGATATTGTTAACACTTCACCTACTTAGGCCAGACCCTGATATTTTCGTCAGTTCAGAGACATTGATTTGACATCAAAGCTTCAGCACAGCGGGTTTGAGAGTGTGGTAGAAGGAAGAATATATGTAGGAAAATTATAAATTTAAACCTTGATTTTTTTTCATAAATCTTGGGAGAGCAGAATGCGTCCTACGAGTATAATACACGTCTTATTATTTGCTACGCTTGGTAACATAAAGCTTTGGGTTGTTCCGAATGCTGTATCCCCAAGGCCTTTTCTGTTCTCCGGGTTTACCAAAATGGTAAATCTATTCAAGAGTTAAGTCTGTCGCAAGCACGCTTTAATTAGGAGTCGTATATAGTTATGGTTTTTATATAACTCCTGCGTTCAGGACATTGAGTTCTCGGTGCTCGTGTATTTCCAGAAACCTCTTGTGGTAAATGAAGCCATCGCGTGGCACGATGGCTTGTCCCGCACTCTATGCTATCATTCGAGTGCTGCCTGAAGATGACACATCTTATGCCTGCTGCGCTATCTTTTGGTGCGTTGTGATTACGGTTCCGTTTTCTTGTCTCTAAATGGCAATAAAACCCTAACCAGTTTTATTAAATTAAGGAAAAGAACGAAATAAAGTTGTCTTTAAACATGAAAAATCCAAGCTTTACGTAAATTTTTCTTAATCTGCAGATCTATTACGTTAATCAAAGCCACTGTACACACTGAACTGCGAAAAAGGCTGCTACTTTCCTCGGGAACCAGGTCCATTGCCCTGTTTTGTTCTCTTATCAATATCGAAGCGTTTCCCCTGCGATTGAATTAGGTTGATCGGCACGGCGCTCGTAATATTCCAACTTTTCTAATCACAGAGTAAACAATTCACGCACAGTGAAGGCGCCGTCATCCTGCGTTTTTTATTGCCTAATTGCCAGAGGTGACGATACAGTCCCCACAAAGAAAACAGGCTCCGCAAGAATACAATTTAGCCGCTGATTAATTAAATCATCCACCCGATCGACGCGTCGTCTGTGGTCGCAATAAAAGTCAAATAGAATATAAAAAGCTGGAACAAATATATATTACCGCCCAAGATCCGCCGACCGACAAAGATGATGTACTAGTTGTGCTTAGCATTTGAATGTCGCTTGCACACCATGTAAGATAGTTTAAGTATGAGTAACCCGCGACGGTCACCTGCCGACAGACCGTGCTGAAGTGAGAATGACTCGGCGCTTTGGACTGAGTATGAATCGCCCTCAACAGTTGCCTGCGGACTAAGTACTTGCCACCGTTGGTTAGCTGTGTAGTGCGTGTGCTGAAACAAGCGTGACTGGCAGCCAACGATCGCACGCGGACTAGGTATGCTGGACAAAGTATAACACACTGCTGCCAGTCGCTTGTCGCTTAATTAACAATGACTAAGTATGACTCGCCGTCGGAATTCGATTGCGTTGTAAGTATACTGAACTAAATATGACTCATTGCCCCCACTGATCTGTGGAAAAAGTAGGCTGGACAAGTATAAAACGCCAACGACGGTCGCATGTCGACTATGGAAGACATCGCCGGTTGACGTTTGCGGATAAAATATGCAGATTAAGTGCGACTCTCGCACGACTCTCGTCTGCGGAGTTAGTAAGCCCGATTTAGTGTGGCCTGTTTCCGAAAGACGTCTTCGGTCTAAATACGATGAACTGTATATGATTCGCCGGTGAATTTCGCTCCCTGATTCGGTATGCTCTTCTGAGTATGACACTCCGCCGACGGTTGCCTACGAAAAAAGTGTGCTAGGCGAGGTATGGTGTCTGAAGTGTCCCTCGCTGCGGATATTCACCTGCTGGCGCATGTTAACGTCGGCGGCAATTATACTTCGTGTTTTTCCTTCAGCTTCCATTTATGTCCTCCTTGTGGCGCAGATAGCAAGGTCCAGGTTTTGATTGCCACAGAGCTTCATAAAGAACCTCCCTTGATGTTAAATACTTTTTGTTTTAGTTATGAAAATGTACTGTAAGTTTTGACTGAGTGTGGCCTCTGTGTGATTTCGATCATTTTGCATTGCCTGCTTTAGATTATGCTTTTTGTGCCTAGGCCTAAGTGTAAAGCACTTCGTCACGCTCGAGCATTTCACTTCTTGCATACCATTCAGCCCATGAGCACATTGTGTGATAACATAAAATGTAAACCCTAGGGACAGTGAATCTGAGATGAATTCAGGTATAATCGTCCAAAGAGACTGATCTCTCTCGATCTGCATGATCACGTTTCACTGAAATCCCTCTGTTAACGATAAGCGACGACACCGTGAAGACGGTTCGTGATCGGCTGTCCACAAAACAAACTTTGCAATTTTTATGCACCGGAAACAGTTCAGACTTTGATAAAAGAATACACGTCGGCAATAAGACGCCATTTTCAGCCCTCGCAAAGTGATGAATATAATAGTTTATATATTGAGCTAGATTACAATGTAATCCATCACATGTTAGTGTATTTTATGACCTTTTATTCATAACGTGTCCGGAGAAACATATTTTAAATGTCAGTGCGTTCACTGTTGACATTACGAGATTGAAAACTGATCACAAATTGCAGCATTATCGTGGAGATGACGTCAATGGAGCCGTCAATCATAGTGTAATACTCCGCAGTTGTTACACAACGGCTACGCTGCACAATAACCCGAAGAATGCGAATTTAAAAGAAGAAAAGAACAGAAAGAATGTCGTGTTAACTCTCCTTAGATTTTTAGACAAATAAAAATAAACAGTGTTTGCCGAAATCGCTTCGCTGCCTTTCGCTGGAATGCGTTAGCATCTCTGCCGTCTTATAGAGGGATCTCGAAAGGGTGATTCACGCTTAATCTTCGCGTCGAAACGTCGTCTGCTCCTCAGAAAGAACTGTTCAAAGCAACTGGGTTAGGCAGTGCGGAAAGCAGTTCTGCCAGTCGTTTCGGCAATACTGCTCACCCTGTTTTGTATCCCATGGTTTGTTTCACCTATAAGTTTATGTTAAAAACACGGAATCAAGTGAACAGTATTCCGCAGTCATTGGCAGTGCGAATAAAAACGAGAAAATTGAACTAAATGGCAAAGCAGTGCGCGCAACCCAGGTCATCAAACGAAATAAATATAGATGCACCACGTATACTATACAGCACTTCCGTGCATATTTTGACCGGAAGTGCCGATAACAGTTCAATTTATATCTAAACTA